GAAACAACAAGAGCTCCACGAGCAAGACCAACCCGGCGAGCAGCGGGGGCCTGTGACAGCGCAGAGTGGCAACCCGATTTTTCCGGTGGACATGACAATGCTGCGGCGTAGCAAAAGGGCTGGTCATCAGACGGCAACACATGTCCCCAGCTCCTTGGAGAACTCTCGCTCGAACACGCCTCCTCCATCAAATGTGACGCAATGAGGCGCGCCTAGGTTGAAAGACATGCGTACGCGATACAGCAAGCGTCGGAACAAAAGGAAGGCCCTCATATGTCATGCCTTCGTATGTCATGGTGGCCCGTATTGTCACGCGAACGTGGCCGTGGCAACCCACAGCGCAGGGGAATGTGCCCCGCCACTCGACTGAGCTAGCTGCGTATGTTTGGCACAGGACGCTGAAGGAGTCATTGCGTCTTTGTGGTCGTCTTCCCCCAGGAGACCGCCAACTGCAAACCCTGCTCGCCCTAGATGCTTGACGTATACGTTTAAGTACTGGAGGCCACTCTCCGTACGTCCAACCACGACTTTCAACTCAACCTTGCCAAGCGCAACCCATTGCGGAGCCTCCACATCTCTTTGCGGCACGCTGTAATGATACCCTCCATTCTGTTTTGCCTCTGCCCAAGACCCTGTGACGTTCAACTCTTGGAAGTACACATCCGCGCAGGGTCCACTCAATCGGCGCGCATCGGCCTGCACCCGAAGCAATGCGGCGCCAGCGCTCATTCCGCGGGGGATGTTTATCAAAACATGCTTGCCTGGTTTCATCAGATCGAACCGCTCGCCGTGAACGTTTTGAAGGTGGGGGTCGCCAGTGGCAGCTACGCCCCCGCCAGCTCCTCCTGCCATGGGAGCTCCAGGAAGAAAAGTTGGATGTGGCGTTGGCCAACCCACAGGATACGTCGGGCTCGGCGTTGGGCTGGGCGTCGGGAAGGGCGTCGGGAAGGCGGTCGGGTAGGGCGTCGGGAAGGCCGTCGGGTAGGGCGTCGGGAAGGCCGTCGGGAATGGCGTCGGGAAGGCCGTCGGGTAAGGCGTCGGGAATGACGTCGGGAAGGCAGTCGGGTAGGCTGTCGGGTAAGGCGTCGGGTAGGGCGTCGGGTAAGACGTCGGGAAGGCCGTCGGGTAGGGTGTCGGGTAGGGCGTCGGGTAAGACGTCGGGTAGGCCGTGGGGAAGGCCGTCGGGTAGGGTGTCGGGTAGGGCGTCGGGTAAGACGTCGGGAAGGACGTCGGGTAGGGTGTCGGGTAGGGCGTCGGGTAGGGCGTCGGGTATGGCGTCGGGTAGGGCGTCGGGAAGGCCGTCGGGTATGGCGTCGGGTAGGGCGTCGGCGACGTAAGGGCGCCCCAGAAGTAGTACCGCTCGCCCCACTCGTTGAAATCCCTCCAGCCCTCTGGGCGTAGGTGGTTCCGGGAGTTTCCTCTTCCAACCTCCTTCATTCCCTTCGGGGAGGGGTTTACCCCTCCCCCTAACCCCCTCCCCTGGACTTGGACGGGGGGGGCCGCTGGTAGTTAGAGCGTCCAAAACGGCCTCGGCGAGGAAGCCAAAATCATCGGTTTTACAAGGGTTTTGGCCGATTTTGGAGGCTCCCGAGGGGGGAGGCTAATTGAGGGATCCCCTTCCTTTGATCGATCACCTCCAAGATGGCCCCAAGAGCGCTCCCAAGGCTCCCAAGAGCGCCCCAAGAGGGCCTCAAGAGGCGCCCAGGAGGCCCCAAGAGGCGACCAAGAGGCCCCAAGAGGCCTCCAAGAGTCCCCCAAAATACCCCCAAGAGGCCCCCAAGAGGCCCCAAGAGGCTCCCACGAGGCACCCAAGACGGTCCAAGAAGCTCCCGGAACCGCCAAGAGGCCCCCAAGACGCCCCAAGAGACCTCAAAGAGTATCCCAAGAGACATCCCAAGAGACTCCGCGAGGCATTCAAGAGGCCTTTGACTCTTCTGATCGCCCTTATCCTCCTCCTCCTCCTCCTCCCCCTCATCATCACAATCATCATCATCATCATCATCATCATCATCATCATCATCATCATCATCATCATCATCATCATCATCATCATCACCATCATCATCATCACCACCATCACCATCACCATCACCATCACCATCACCATCACCATCACCATCGTCAAGACCACCACCATCATCGTCATCATCAGCATCATCAATATCAACATCAACATCATCATCCGCCTATTCCTCCTCCTCCTCATTCCTCCCTCCCCACCCTCATCCTCCTCCTTCTCTTCCGCCTCCGACTCCTCCTCCATCCCCCCCCCTTGGGGTACGACGGCCTCCCCAGCCCCTTGTTCCTCTGTATGCTGCCCCGCTTCCATGATCACCTCTACTCGCCTGGGCGTCGTTTCTGGATGGGCTGGTGGGGATACGCGAAGCGTCAAGAATTGATGCAACTGTCGCCGAAAAAGTAGACGCCCGTGTTGATATGCACGCGGTGAAAATGACCCCAGGCATTGCCCTCTTCCAGGCCCCCGACGTTGCACGAGCTGTGCACGTCGGCCTCCTTCTTGAGCCCGAAATGCGTCGAGCCCCAGCAACCGCCGCGTCCACCGTGCCAGTAGTAGTCGCTTCCGAGGCTGTTGCCGCCGCAATTGCAGCTCGTGCACGTGTTGTCGAAACCCGAGGTGCTCAAGGTCCAGAAATGCTCAACTGAATACCCAGATGCGGTAGTGACGCGCATACCAAACATGCCGATAGCCTGGAGCTGCGACCCAGTGTATCCGATCCGATAGTCTGACCAGGTGTAGCTGCTCTCGCTGCCGTACGTGGAGCCACTGGAGAAATCCCCAATGTTGGTGTTGCCCAAGGTCGAGCTGAGCAGCAACGTCCAGGTAGTGCTGGACTCAGAGGACGTGTTGGTGCGCTGCTGCACTTGGAGGGCAGCTGCGGTGGGTATTATGTGGCCAAATAGCACAACCAACCACGCAGTCGGGCTTGCCGTGCAAGCTGCCATCTCGCTCTGCGGGGCGATGCTGCGATAGCGAGTCGCGCAGGTCGGGCTCGAAAGGAAGTGGATGTATGCACTCGATCTGAACTACCGAGGAGCCAGAGAAGGCTGCAGCAACACGCGACCTGGCCTTCAAGAGCGGGTTCGGCGGCTCGTGTCGTGCGCCTCGTGGTCAGTGGCTCCTGCCTGCCTGGCCGTCGTGGCCCTCGCGTCTGGGAAAGGTGGGGGATCTGTGGCCCCGTGGCTCCTCGGGGCCCTCCAGCCAAGAGGGGCAACTCGAAGGGGCCCCCCAAGCGCCCTCCCCCCAAAGAGATGGCCCCCGAGACCGCCAGCACGCCCCCCCCCCCTTCCCGGAGGCCTCCGAAGGCTCCTCCAAAAACCAGGGAGGCCGAACAGACTCGAGCCCCGAAGGCCCAGAGAGGGCCCGAAGGACCCTCGCGCAGGCTCCAAGAGCCCCCCCAAATCACTTCTCAAGGTGTTCTCTCACTTGGTGGGTTCCGAACCTCTTGGTGAGATGTGAGCCTGATGGCCTCGGAGGCGCCCAAAAAACAGCGCCGAGAGGGCCCCAAAAGGGTCACAAGAGGGCCGGAGACCGCCCCAAGAGGAGCCCCCGAAGAGTACCTTCCTCTTTCTCTCATGTTTGTGCGTTCTGTGTGTATGTGTGTGTGCGTGTGTCTCTTTCTCTCTCTCTCTCTCTTCTCTCTCTCTCTCTCTCTCTCTCTCTCTCCTTCTCCCTTTCGTGTAATATCACCACCATCAGTTATTAGTGTCATCCGCATCATCATCATCATCATCACCATCATCATCATGATCATCATCATCATCACCGTCAACATCATCATCATCATCATCAGCATCATCATCATCATCACCATCGCCGTCATAAGCATCATCACCATCATCAGCATCATCAATATTATTAGTAGCATCGTGGTTACCAGCAGTAGTAGTAGTATCAGCAGTAGCAGTAAGTGAGTAGTAGTGGAGTAGTAGTCAGTAGTAAGTAGGTAGAAATAGTAACGGTAGTAATCGTACAAGTATTAGTAGTGGATAGTAACTAAGTGAGTCTTAGTAGTAGGTAGTATATACGTAAAAAGTAGGTAGTAGTAGTAGTAAGTAATGGTATGAGTAGTGTAGTAGGTGAGTAAATATAAAAAAATGAAGTGAAAATAGTAGTAGTAGTAGTAGTTAGTTAAGTAGTAAGTATAGGTATTGTAGGAGTAGGTCGTAGGTAGTAGGTATCGGTAGTGGTAGTAAGTAGTGGTAGTAGGTAAGTAGGTAGTAGTAGTAGGTAGAGGTCAGTAGGTCGTAGGTAGTATGTAGTAGTAGTAGGTAGTAGTATAGTCAGTAGAATAGTTATAGTAGTAGTAGTATTAGTAAGTAGTAGTAGTAGTATTGTAGTAGTAGTAGTAGTAGTAGTAGTATTATAGTAGTAGTAGTAGTAGTAGTCGTAAGGTCGTAGTAGGTAGTCGGTAGTATGTAGTGGCAGTAGGCAGTTAACAGTAGGTAGTAGTCGTAGTAGTAGTAGTAGTAGTAGTATAGTACGTAGTAGTAAGTACTAGTAGTAGTAGTAATAGTAGTAGTAGTAGTAGTAGAAAAAAACGAAGAAGAAAAAAAACACAAAAAAAAAAAAAACTCAAAACAAGGTTATTAGGTAAGTATAGCAGCATGTAGTAAGTAGTAGTAAGTAGTATAGTAGTATAGTGGTGAATGTAGTAGTAGTATTAGTAAGTGGAGTAGTATAGCTAGTAGTAGATAGTGTAGTAGAGTAGTAGTAGTAATAGTAGTAGTAAGTAAGTAGTAGTAGTAGTAGTCGTAGTCGTAGTCAGTAGTAGTAGTAGTAGTAGTAGTAGTAGTAGTAGTAGTAAGTAGTAGTAGTAGTAGTCGTAGTAGTAGTCGTAGTAGTAAGTAGTAGTAGTAGTAGTGGTATAGTAGTAGTAGTATTAGTAGTAGTAGTAGTAGTAGTAGTAGTAGTAGTAGTAGTAGTAGTTGTAGTAGTAGTCGTAGTAGTATCAGTAGCAGTAGCAGTAGCAGTAGCAGTAGCAGTGGTAAGTATTCGTATACCCAGCGGCCGGCTTTCTCAATAATTTCGAAGAGCAATCTGCTCATTATCTAACACTCTCGATTTCGTCCGCTAGATAATACACGCATGCAAGCTACCGATGTCTGAGCAGTCTATATGACAAGAATAAGCTGACATATATATATATATATATAGAGAAAGAGAGAATATACAAGCCCGGGGAAAAAGTATGGAACTGCATGTACACGATTAAGAAAGCTGAGGAAGATGAGTGGGAAGAGGGGGAGAAGGAAAAGGAGGAGGAGGAGGAGTAGGAGGAGGAGAAGAAGGAGGAGCAGGAGGAGCAGGAGGAGGAGGGGATGATGCGGAGGAGGTGGAGGAGGAGGCGGAGGAGGAAAGGAGGAGGAAAGGAGGAGATGAGGGGAGGAGGAGGATACGGAGGAGGAGGAGGAGGACGAGAGGGAGGATGAGAGGGAGGAGGGGGGTAAAGAGGAGGAGGAAAGAAAGATGACGAGGAGGAGGAGGAGGAAAGGAGGAGGAGAGGTGGAGGAGGGGAGGAGGAGGAGGAGGAAGAGGACGCGCAGGAGGGAGATCATGAAGATGGGGAGCAGCGGGAGAGAAGGATAACGATAATGAAAAGGAGACGGAGACGGAGAAGGGGACTGATCATGCGAAGCAGGATGAGAAGGATACGAAGGCAGAGAAGGACAATGATACCGATACGGGCAATGGTAAAGATGAGGAGGGTGAGGATGACGACGGCGCGGACGAGGAGGACAATGAGGACGAGAACTGACGAGAGGGACGAGTACGAGTAGAGGAGGATGAACAGGGTGGATGAGAATAAGAAGGGGCATGAGGAGGATGAGGAGGAGGAAGAGAAGGGCGGGATGAGGAGGAGGAGGGAGAGGAGGAGGATGAAGGGGATGAGGATGAATGGGATGAGGCAAGCAATAAGGACGTGCTCGCATTGGCGGTTTCCTGGTCGTCGCATGCGACGCGGTGCGAATGTGACACCACGCGTCGAAAACAATGTTGCGATGGGGGCGTCGCGCGAGGCAAAACATGCTATGCGTCATTATGCCGAGACTGAAGGTCTCGGAATCGCACGCAATGCAATGCTACGCAAGACTGCGTCGGCAGTGTGTCGAGCGCGAAACGCGCGGGCATGCCATAAGACATGAACTTACCAACCGCACGTGGTAAAAAAAGGGTGAGGTGGGGGGTGGATAGATGAATGGCCGAGGGGAAATGTCGAAGACGACGGGGGGGGGGGGGGGGATCAGGAGGAAGGGAGGGGGGGTATGACGAGGAAGAGAGGATGGATGATGGCGACGCGATGGTGATGATGATGCTGCGGTGATGATGGATGAAAATAATAATGATGATGTGGTGATGAGGATGAGAGGACAAAATGGCGGAGATGGACGATGGATGAAGAGTAGAGAGGATGACCGAGGCGGAGGAGGGAAGAAGGAGAAAGGAAGTAAGAGGGGGCGGGTAATTGGGGGGGGTGGCCGACCCCCCCCCCCCCCCTCCCCCCTCTCGCACACCCCCTCACCTCATCCCATCCCCTCCTCTCCCCTTCTCACCCATGCCCTCCCCTCCCCTCCCATCGCATCCCCCCAATCCCATCCCACCCCCTCCCTTCCGCATGCCTGCCCCCCTCGCCGCCGCCTCTTCTTCCGATCGTCGATCCATCCCATCGCCGCTGCGCGTCGGCTCCGTGACTGTGCACCCCCCCGCGAACTGGATCGAGCACATCATCCAGGCGCACGGAGAATGGGACGGGATGCGACGCCCGACATCGAGACGCCGGATCGACGCACGGCGGAGTCGACGACGACGACGACGGAGTCGTAACACATCGGACGTCTACATTTGGAAACACACGTTACGAATTCGATTGCTGTTATGGATTTGCGTTCCAGACACGGGTCACAGATGTTGGGTTGGGGTGTCGCGCGTGTTCATCGTCGCAGTCGCCGCTGTAATTTACATGTTGTCGGGCATCGCCGTAACTGTCTGCACTGTTAAACGGGCGCCACAACTTTCACACGCGATTTCACACGCGTGCGAAATCGCGTGTGAAATCCAAAAACTGGTCCCACGCCTGCTATTTTCACACAGTTTCCGCGTCAACTGCCCCACCGTCATCTCGCAATCGTCGTCGGCATCCTCATCCTCCGCATCACCATCGGCGTCATCACCCGCATCGCCCCGCCATGTGCATCATCACCATCGTCACGTCCCCCGTCTCTCCATGTATTCCTCCGCGCACGTATCATCATCATTCTCTTCATCCGCCGCCTCCGCTTCCGCATCCTACGCCGCGTCATCATCATCATCCCCTCCCCATCCTTAGTATCAGCCACCCCTTATCCTCATCACCATCCTCCCCCCCTGCATCATCCTGCGACATGCCACCCCCATCATGCCCATGGAGTTTCTCATGCCCAGCGCATCATCGCCCCTCCATAGCGCCCGCCACATCATCATCATCTTCCCCGTCCTCATGTTCATCTCCCTCACGCACCGCATCATCGCCAGCACCAGTAACATCGGTATCAGCAACATCATCAGCATCATCAGCATCACCAACATCACCATCGTCAGCATCAACATCACCATCACAATCACCACCAATATCACCATCAGAATCAACATCATCATCGCGACTCCCCATCCTCGAGAGCATGGTTTAGCTATTTCGCCTCATCATTCACCTCCCGTATCTTTCTTCTCCGCCTAGCGGTGTCGATGCACCTGGATTCCACGGGTTAACGGTGCCATCGGGGCCCCGTCAGGATCTTCTGATTCGGGCAGCGCCCGACCTGACAAAATCTTGCGGCGAGCAGATCAGACGGTGGCACCAGCACAGACTCGCATGCAGTGCCAGCAGATTAATCGATTAATCACAACAGGATGGGAGTGGTGTGGTAGTGTGGAGCGTGAGGCTTCAAATGGAGGATGAGACTGGGGCTGAGAAGAGCGCCGAGGCGCGGTGGGCCACCGCCATTAAACATTAAACACCGCATGTAAGCGGAGCACGGCGCGGTGGGCGCACTATAAAATCACACATAGAATCCATCCTCATGGCGCACATCGCTGC